TTTTGCCGGGGTAACTTTATCAAAGAACTCCATGCCATTTAGTTTTTTGCAGACGTACTTCGCGTTTCCTGAGTTGTTTGGGCTTCACACTCAAAGATTGTACAATCAACTGGAATCCACATACCGTTGCAAAATCGTCACATGTTGCCCTTGCTGCTTTTTGTGTTGGAAACTCAGTGTCTGCAATATTGGTTCGCGTCGCGTATACTCCCCCATACTTTTGGCTGGAGCGGTCTGAGGTATCAACTTTTGCGTCTTCCCTCAAAACACCCATGCTTATAGCTGTAGCGATGTCAGAAAGATCTACCACGAAGGGAGAACTCCCATAATTCGGAGGCGGCTTTCGAGGCATGGTACGCTTAGGGCAAAAGCGGTTTTGCTGAAGGCAGCAGAAATGTAGCTATGATTAGAGTTAGGTACGGATCGAACTTAATCATTTTCTACTGATTGCCGTCTTTTCTGCGCCGCGTTGGGGACAGATCAGTAGTTTTCTACTGACCGATGGTATTTCCTCGGTGCTGTGTTTGGCGCTGATGGCGACGGCCACTGTTCTAGTACAGAGTCCTGCGTCCGGTTTGACCACGACTGTGGCTGACACGGCCCAGACGGCAACCAGCATTCTAACTCCTGTTCTAGCTGGGGAGCCGAACAAACACGTTACAACGCGATCTTTGAGAACGCATCCGATAGCCGACAGCGACGACGGCGAAGAGCGACTGCTTAATGGTATGACAGATTTTGTCAAGTACCACGCTGGAAAGATGAATCCCGAGCAGCTTTACAAGTACTTAAAGTTACAAGGACGTGGTCAAGAAGCCTACAAACACAAGAACTACGCTAGTTACATTAAGAAGTCGAAGAAGTGGTGGAAGAACCAGTAAGACCGTAGTTTCAAGAGTTTTGAAGGATGGTTTATCAATTGATTTGAAGCAATTGAAGACGCTAAGAAAAAATGCTAACGCTGGCTTAGTTCGGTTCGTTTTGTCACTGGACTTCAGTGCATTCCTCGTGTGCTTGGGGTTTTGCTTTTGTTTGTGGGGATGTAGATTTCTTGAGTGTTAAAAAAATTACAATTTTTAGTACAAGTACTACAGTAGTAAGCTGCACGAATATCCCTCCTGGGAGAGGATACTAATTGAAAGCGGGTCATAAAAAAATTAACTCAGCGTCAGAGTTCTTGACAATATATCGTCACATACCCCCCCCCTCTCCATATCGGTAAGAAAAACGAGGTATTTCTCGATAGTAGTATAATTTACGTGATTTTAATTCGCAACCTACACGCTAAATCATACTAACGCCATGCTCCACACGTAGAATCGCTGAACGACATCACAAAAAGCAATGTGTTTTCACCCTCTCCGCGCATTGAGGAAATCAGAATTGAATTTTGGACGAGATTAAATAAAAATGCGCACTTAAATGAATCCTCTGCTAGTAAGAATTTAAATCCCAATAACATATACATGTGCTGCCTTTAAGGTCACGTCCGTCCGCGAAGCACACTCTCCACGAGCTCCTGTTTAAATTTGCTCCAATGTGTATCTCGGACTAACTGCTCTAACAGATTCGAGTTTCTTCTCCCTCCAGGTGGACCTCGTAAACGTGACAAGTCTGTCTTGTACTTATGTTTGTTCATCAAGGCAATGTCCTGTAAATTACGATGTAGTTGCGAACGGCTATCAGCAGAGAATCCCTGCATGATATCTGCAGCCGACAAGAACAGAAGCTCTACTGTAGAGACCGATATCAACGCTGCCTTGGCGCAAGATATTCCATGAATCTGCTGTTTTTCTTGTCGAGACTGGCGCGGTGGAACCCAGGATGATGACGCACAAAAACATTCTCCACGTCGCAGTGCCAGCGCAACCGATTGCGTTGGCGTTGTCCCCCTTCCAGTCCCCATACAGTTGATAGCGACACTTGTTCGCCTGGTATAGGTTGATTTTGGTCGTGTAGTGGCAGCTCGCAGAAGCTCCCGCTGCTTGGACTTCACGTAATTTTGTGGAAGAAATCCATGATGCGCCTCATTAATACGTAAAAAGCTCAGAGGATCCCCTGCAGTCTCAAGTTGTGTGTAAAATAGTCGAGCGCTTTGAGATTCAGATAGACGTCCACTAAGTGCGAATGATATGGACATATCAGGTGGTGTTCGTAATCCACAAGGCGAAAATTTGCAGAGTTCGCCCTCTCGAACCAGTATAAGCCCATTCACAGACTGGCCTTCACAGCACACGACTTTGGAGCCGATGACCTTGACAAATGTAGACTGATAAAAGAGTTTTTTCTGTAAGAAAAAAATATTGATTAGACTAATAGCGGACGTACTCGGTTTGCAAGGTTGCGGATATCTACTACGGGGATATTATTGAACGCTGGGGCCATGGAGAGGAATCGAGCGGCGCGGTCTCGCTAGGAAAATAAAACGATATTTAAAAAAATATATTTACTATTGTAGGATTGAGACTACTTACCTCGACTTCGTGTTGTGCACGGTCAATTCGACTCCACTGATGCCACGATAAAGCCCCTATCACACACGTTGTTGTCGTAATTGCTGAATACGCTCTACAGTAATATTTGATTAGCAGTCAAATATTTTTAATAGCGATTGTTTCTTACCGTGGAGCGTTTGTAATCCTCCCTTGGTGACCAAAAATATCTCCGTGCTCAAGCTCACAGAGCTCTAATTGCGTTTGCTTCCAGTCCGAATTAACGGGTGTTTGATAAGTATTCCATGGAGGTTCCCACGTGACGTCGGACGCACCCATTTCAGCTTCATCCAGCTCTTCCTGCACTTTAAAGCGCTCTTCAGAGCTCTCTAGGTACTCTGCCGACAGCTGAAACATTCTACCAGCAGTCTTTGAGACAGATACTCTTCCTTGAAAAATAAAATACAATGACTTATCATGTGGAGCTTCAACACCATTCTGATCCATAAAAATTGGTGTTCGGGCTGGAAGAGCTCCATCGGGACTTAGCACAAGATCACGACATAAAAGCTTGCAAACTTCCGGATTCAACGCCGCGCAAACTAAGAATCTCTTCTGCATAAAATCGACGAGGTATTGAAGGTCACTGTCGCTTCTTTCAGACGGTGGAAGTCGAGCAATCTCCAGACTGCGCTGAAGCGTCCAAGCTGTCAGTGCATCTTCAGTCTCATCAGGTTTGCTTTGACACTCGTTTGTGTCTTGGTTTGTGTCAGGTTCGATCTCCAATATACGTGCTTTTTCATCGTTATGTACACTTTGTTGAGGGATTCTTTTCTTCGGAGATGTGGCACGCTTCACGGTGTTGTACAGGTGCTCAGCAGTGTACATCACACTCTCGTCTACCAAGGTAGTGGAGCCCCCTGAGTTCTTTTGAACAAGGTCGTAATCTTGTGCGGCCTTCTCGAAATCTCCATTCTTACGGTACGCTGCTGCTCGCTGTCGATAAAATGCACTTGGGGGTGATCCTCTATTGGACCCTTTTTTGTCTTTGCTGACACTAATCGCACGTGAAAAATAGTCGACAGCTTGAGCTACTTTATCGACACGCATACACAAATTGCCCATATTATAGAACGCAAAGGCATGTTGTCCACCGGGAAGTCTCTGAACTTGCTTGTAAGCTGCTAACGCGGGTCTGATTTGACCTGTTCGTTCTAAACACACAGCGAGCTGGAATTTCGCCTCAATTTCACTCTGTTTTGCAGTCGATAAACTCGTGTAAAACTTGATAGCTCGGTCATAATCTCCATTTGCTCGTGCCTGGAAAGCTCTCGAGCGCAGACATTCGGTAGCATTCATCGCGGCTGTGAAGACGACACGAGCTCGGGACAATAACTCCATAGTTCTCGTTTCTACTCCATCACGATTGGGCTTACCATCCCGACCAAGTTGCCCTCGAGACTCCACACTTCGACCAATAAGCGGGTTCACATACTGTTCCTGGTTTCGTTCGCGTCGAATGGCCTCTTGTAACGCTATAGTGTCACTTCTCGTCGTAAAATGTTCCTCATGTTCATGATGACGGATTTGAGTCTTCGAGGTTCGACTGGTAGCAGGTCGTTTGGGTAGTTTGATGCCCTCCGATGGAGCAGATACTCGAGCGGTAGAAGGCCTTGAAGGTCGTTGTTGATTGGTCTGCTGTGTGTTAGTCGAGGTCAGGAACGCCCATTGTGCGGTGGCTGGATAGGACAATTCCTGTCGAAGTCTGCGATGTGAACTAGCCGAAGACCCACGGGCAGATCTCACAGTTCCATCGGGAGATGTCCTCGTTGATGGGGTACATCCTATAGATTCCGATGCTAACGGAGGTCCTTGCATTTTCGCTTGCCACAGTACGTGCTCTTTTTTTCTTGATGAGCATTCACTATTTTTAAAAGGTCCTGACGTTTATAAATACCTGACAACACTGCACCGATCAACCAAATTGATGCTATGGCTTCTTCTATTCCAACAGTAGGCGACCAGAATGACGACTTGGAGAACGCAGTATTTCGCGAGAAGCAAGGGATAGGAAGCGATGTTCCTTCACCAACTTTTTCGCGTTTATTATGCTGTCTACGAAGTCGCTGTCTTCGTGGAATCTGTGTGGGTTTTCCGTGTGTGGTATTTTTACTACTATTTTTAAGTCTTCCCTCCAGTACGGCGACAAGTACCAGACGAGTTTTCTTGATCCTAGCTGCCGTCCCACTGATTATTTACATTGTCGTTGGCATATCCACTGTGGTACTCGCGTATTGCACTCAAGTTTCGCTCGAAACGCAAAATGCTCAGGCAGCTCATCAATACTTGAACACTAAAACTCAACAGAGTAAAATCGCTGTTACTACAGGGCAGAAACAACAGAGCAACAACTTTCCCGGTCGTTTCGCACTTTTTCTTGAGGCTGCGCGGTCGGGCGATGCAAAGACGGCGCAATTGTGTTTGAGAAATGAACAAATCGTGGACGAAGTGGACCATCTTGGGCGAACAGCTCTTCACTGGGCAGATCAGACGAGGTATTATCTCTTCTCTTGCGGAATGGAGCATCGATTGATCAACAGGACTCACTGGACGGGCTTACGGCGCTACACTACGCAGCTTTTTATGGTCATATCAAGAGCACAAGACTATTGGTCTGTGCTGGCGCCTCAATGACCATCATGGACAATCGACGAATGAATCCACTGCAACTCACCGAAATGGCGAGTCTCAAGCTAGCGAGTGTTCAACCTACGCATCAGATGATCATTAAATACCTGCGAATTGCCATGAAGGACGACGTCACATCACCACTCGAACATGTTGCGGGACTCACTGTTTTGCAACTTGTTGAACGACAAGCGCATAATCTCCCGCAGATGGAGTGACTAAGCGTAACTTTGAAATGATACTTCGAAGTAGTCAGCTTATAAAACCTAGTGTCACTACGTACCTCGGTATTCGAATTTAAACAGACACGTACAGTTTTAATACTACTACTACAGTCGTGCACCTCGTTTTTGGCCCCGGTATGGCTTAATAACCTGCACAATCTAATGATTGCGTCACATGCATTGCGCAAATGAGTTGCCCATCTCTTTTGGACCAAATAACCTCAATGGTATTCCCCTCCTTGAGGAGGGATAAAACGCCGCACTTCCGCCACGATGTATCAGCTCAATCACTTCCCCATATAACAGATCATTATAAATTTTGTCGCAGAACGCCATGACACGTCGCCCGTCCGCCTATTCTACGTTGAATCTCGCCAATAAGCAAACATTGTGCAGGAAGGCAGCCACAGAGCCATCATGGACACAGTCTCAGCTCACTCAGTACGCCACACAAGAGTTTCAAACCCACGTAAAGCGCTCCACCCTCCAAGCATTCTAAAGCGCAAGAGGGACTACGAAGACGTCCCGAATGCTCACTCTCTCCGCAAAGGTTTTGCACGGCTTCGCAGCGCTCGTCCGA